GGCAGTGCAGAAGAAAGAATGGCAATACCGTGACCCTCCTGAAATAACCTTGCAACCCCCCTGCAACTCACTTTTGTGTCAGGACCCCCAATTTGAGATACACTGGTCTCCCCCCCATGAAATCTGTATAGTATAGGGTAAAAGCACACAAAAGACCAGATTTCACAAGGGGAGCACAGATTTCATGGTCCATGATGTGTTTTTCATGGCCATGAATTTGGTAGGGGCCTAATCATTAGGGGAAAAGATATATAATAAGACAAAACATATCTTAATGCCTCTATATAAATCCATGGTACACCCACACATCAAATACTGCATGCAGTTCTAATCACCCCATCTCAAAAAAAAGATACATTAAAATTGGGAAATGCACACAGAAGGGCAACAAAAATGATTAGGGGTATGGAACAGCTTCCATACAATAAGTAATTAGACTGGGACTGTTCAGCTAAGAAAAGAGACAATTAAGGGGGGGAATATGATAGAGGTCTATAAAATCATGAATGGTGTGGAGAAAAATGAATAAGGAAGTGTTATTTATCCCTTCCCAAAGCACAAGAACTAGGGTCACACAACAAAATTAATAGGCAGCAAACAAACAAAAGGAAGTACTTCTTTACGCAATGTACAGTCAACCTGTGGAACTCATTGCCAGGGGACATTGTGAATGCCAAAAGTATCACTGGGTTTAAAAAAGAATTAAATAAGTTCATGGAGGATAGGTCCATTAATTGCTACTAGAGAAGATGGTCAGGATGCAACCCATGCTCCGGGTGTCCCTAAACTTCTGACTGCAAGAAGCTGGGACTGGATGACAGGGGATGGATCACTTGATAATTGCCCTGTTCTGTTCATTCCCTCTGCATGATCTGCACTGACCACTGTCAGAAAACAAGATATTGGACTAGATGGACCATTCGTCTGACCAATATGTCCCCTCTTATTTCTTATGTTTACATTCCCTCCCAGCAACCATTTCCACCTCCAAATATTTTTTTTTTATCATATCTGGGCAGCTGAGCTGTTCACAAAAAAAAAACTGTATCTATTGTGAATAACATCATCTTCTGATTAACCAACTTCTAGCACAAGAAATACAAAACAAAAACCTAAAACCAACTTGTAAAATATACCGTGGAACTTAAGCTATGGTGGTATAAGTTTAGCAGAGAAAAGTACATGTAGCCCACAGCCATTACCAAATTTTAATTCACTACTAAAATGCTGAATCTAAATCCCACCTGGAAGCTTATCCACTTTGCAAATCCAAATAGCCAAATATAGGCAAAAATCACTCCTGATCCGTCATGCAGACAGCAAATGCAGAATCCTAAGAAATCTATGCCACAAATGCAACAAATCATCATGTTAAGGCCCTTATTCCATATAATTCACATACCACTGAAAAATCAATGGTACCACTGAAACATGCTCCTTAGTAGCATATAATAAAACAGATTGTATCATACAGGCTGACATTTGTTCTGTTTTTACATTTTTGCATATTCAAAATCATATGTAATAAAATTATTTCTTCTTACACAAAAAGAGAGGCTATTCCGTATTCGGTCACTCGTACCATAAACAAATACATTCCAGGTTACCTCCAATTCCTCTTTCAGTGTTGAAAAGAAAAATTAAAATATTACAACCAGATATTGCAAGGCCTCATTCAAGTCAGTAGTCTACTAATTTCAAGGGTTAGTCCAGTCAATAAAGGATGACAAGCTGGACCCTTAGTTACCAAACCAGATGCTCCCTAACAAAACAAAAAGAGTTGAAACATTTTCCAAGGCCTTTATGTATTCCAACAATGCAAAATGTTAGAATCCACCCACGGCTAGCCAAGAACAGTAACATTTCTCCATATCTCTGTGTGACACATTCAGAAATGTACACCTCACATCTTTCCAAACCAGCCCACAGCTCTTAGGTTGCCTCTTTCTCCATCATTACAGCAGGGTTCCCCTCATCTAGACATGGCTGAGTTTAAGTCAATTACATAGGATACACATGCCCAAAGAGCTCTGTTGTTGTAGGGCAGGGCTTTTTGCAAAGACCAAACATCATCTGTTCAAGCATCGCTTACCTTCGGAGACTTCAAACTGTGCCGTTCCATTGAGCTGATACAGGCACCAATCAACTGCATCCTCGCCAGGGGGGCAGCCAACTAGTCAAACAAGCAAAGCTACAGTCAATAACTGTGCAGCTCACACCTTAATGCTCCCCCACAGAAGGCCGAGGGGAGGAAGGCTGGTGAGGAGGACAGGAGAAAGGAGTGAGCGGGAGGGAACAGAGAAAGGGGAGCAGGTGGGGGAGAGTTAGGGGAGGAAGGAGGGATCGAGGAAGAGGAGAGATGGCTGAGAGGTGCCTGGGGGAAGGGAGAACGGTTCCAAATACCCTGCTTTTGGGACATGTGTGTTGCCCTCCGAGAGGCGCCCGGAACTGCTCTTTGCTTTGCTCTCGCTGCCAAGCGCTCGGGGCGCCTCCTCCTTCTCCCGGCGGAGCGGGTGGTGCTTGCCGGCAGCGCAGGCTGACTTGGGGCGCCCAGAGAAAGCTCCGCCCGGAGATCCCGGAGAAGGCGGCGGCGGCGGCGCAGCCTCCCCACGGCACTGGGCACGGAGAGGCCGCAAAACAGCCCCAACAGGTGTGAGCGGAGTCCGGGCTTGGGAGGGGAATTGGCCCGGGCACGGGGCTACACCACCAGGGGGCGGAGGCTGCATGCTGGTGAGGGGGCCGCAGGAATGTACTGGGGGGAAGCGGGGCCGTGTCAAGGTGTGTGGACGTGGGCGTGTCAAAGCGGGGAGCATCCACCAGGCCGTCAGAGCCTGCGTGTGCGGGGCGGGGGAGATCTGCGTGGGTGGGTGTCAGCCCCAGGCATGAAGCCAACATCCTTAGTTACCTCAAGCCCGTTTCTGGGTCTGGCCTCACTAATGAGGTTTTTTAACTGAAGTTAATTGATGCCAAGTAAAATGTTATTCTGGGCACGCCACAAACATCTTCCCTACTAGGACCCCCCAGGTAAAAAGCACAAAGGCTTGCGGAGCATCCAGACTACCAGGTGCAGAAGGGTTACCTATCTGGAGTTAACTGGTGATCAAGTCAAGACAAATCACTCTAGTGTAGACAGGGGTGCTGGAACAATTAGTATAGTGGGGGTGCTGAGAGCCATTGACCTAAACTGTAAACCCTGTATATGATGGGAACCACTTCAAGCCAGGGGGTGCGGTAGCACCCCTAGTTCCAGCCTATGAGTGTAGGCAAGGCATTCTTCATAGACACACAACACCTGCACAAGAGGAGCCTAGGGACTTACATTCACACCCTGCTGCCTGCTACCCTCCTGTGTCCTAGGATTGCAGGGGTGTTAATTGCCCACTTCATTCTCCATGGTCTCCTACAACATATGTGAACCCCTGATGCTAGCAAATTATCTCACCTTGTATTTAGCTTGGGTACTCTGGTTACCTGCCCCAGACTTGAGGAAGAGATCTGTGAAGCTCAAAAACATGTCCCTTCCATCAGCAGAAGTTAATCCAATAAAAGATATTACCCTGCCATTCTTGTCAGTTTTCATAGAGAAAATCCTGAGCTGTGAGGTTCAGATATGAATCTGGGCCTCCCTTAAGTATCAAGGAGAAGGGATGTGTGATTTCAGTTCAAGCCCCTATCTGGCTTCATGCATACATGATGTATGATCACTATGAAAAACAAGACCATTACCATTTGCAGGTAAAATTGACTTTACTGCAGCATTCAAAGCATTCCTAGACTTGGGCCATTCAGCAACTACGATGAGTAAGTGCTGCATCTACCACTGTCATATATATGTATGCACACGTGCTGGTTGCATGTGAATGTTTTTGTACACTGAGACCATTGTCAGATTACAATAAACCACACACTGTAAATTTCCATATTCCTGCATACACATACACTAAAAACAACTCTGGGTGGGAATTAAATGTACATTAAATGTTCTGTTCACCAGGTGGTATTTTTGGCATATGATTTAATACTAAGTTTCTGAGTTATTAGTTTACAGCTGGCAGCAGCATCTTGCTGAAGTATTCTCGCCTTTCTACGTGATCATATGTCAGAGGCCCTCATTTTTTATGGAAGTATGGTGAGACCAGTGTTCTTTGCATGGGCAAATGATAAAAATCACAAACATACAGTAGAGAGAGAGTATTATCAGCCCTGGACTGAAGGCCAGCCACAGAAAAAAGTATCAAGCTTGCCCTGTTGTGGCATAATCACACTGGGCTCGCCTCTAGTTTTTGCCAGTTGTGTGGCAGTTTATGTGGCTTGGAATAAGCATTTTCTTCTGTACATTTTCTGCTTGCCATGCTTAGTCTCACCCAGCTTGCCATGCCCATTTTCCTATCCGCCGTTCTACGTGGTCTTCTGGCACTGGGAGTTTTTTGTGCATTTGCACTGACCACTGCATAATTTGACTAATTCCCTTGTCCCACCCAAATTATTTTCCACTCAAATTTCTCTCCCCACTTATTCTGTTCCACACAAGATAATGGAATATTTGGGCCCTTGTGAAAACGTAGGGAAAGGACTTAGCCATTCAGAAATAAATATGTGTAGTAGGTTTAAGATGAAAGCAATGTATTTTCCAGAAATCCTCAGCTACTTTTAGAAATAAATCAAAATGCCTGTGTTTAACCCCTCCTGTGACAATAACCCAAATCACCCAGGGTTATAATGCCTATTGAAGTATAGTCAGCAATATTAATGCATTTAGACATTGTATGTCCCTGGGCCACATTTGCTGGATATTCACTTGTTTTCTGGGAACTGAAAAGGTTAATGAAGAAAGGTATGTTGATGATTAAGAGGAGAGAGGAAATTTTTGCAGCTGTTTCAAGCCTAAACTTCATCCAGCTACTTTCAGTACTATTGACTCCATCTACAAAATACCTGTAGACCGTGATTGTACTTCATGCAAAATATTCTAGCCAATAAAATCGACCTTGACACTTCAGCAGTTTTATTTTCTCATAGTGTTTTGGGAGAAGTCATTTCACAGTCCACCACGTTAGCTGGCAAATTAATGGCCCTACTCTGAGAGAACTTATCTGAAAGTGTATTTAAGCAGAAATGTGGCAGAAATGAGTCTCACTCTGTGTAACTCAATAAAACTGCCTAACATTGATAAAGTGCTTTTCATTCAGAACATCAAACTACTTTACAAACTCTCTCTATACACATAACTTACTGGCTCTTCATCTGGGGTTTTACACTGCACAATTTTTTTTCTCTTTTTTAAGAAGGGACAGAACCTGATGTCAGTTGTAGTGAAGTAAATCTGTCCATACAGATGTCTTGGATTAAGGCTGATCTACATATGAGCTTCCACCAAAATAACAATTCAATTTTAATTCATGCCTTTTGTTATTTTGGAGCAATTCTCTGTGTGGGTATATGTGTATATGTATAGTATGAAAGTATTTTGGGACTGTTTGGTGCAGAACATGCTATATAAACACAAATTACTTAGAATAGTTCACATATGTCAGTTACTCAGGGAAAGGATTTTAACCAAACTCAGACATAAGATGTGTAATTATATTACATTATATTAACATTTGACCTACAGAGGGTCTGGGGAAGATAGACAAGTTCTCCCACAACACACCACAAACCAATTCCTAGAGCTGCTCCAGGTAGTGAGGCACTAAGGATACACACCCAGAAATCATAGCATGAAACAGATATAACTGCAGTGCCAGCATGGACACAAATACACTGGGTATGGGTGCGAGCAGCTCTGCAGTGTGGACTCTTGATGGTGGGCGTGGCTAACATACGATAGCACTGAGGTAACTAAATCAGTTTCTAATCCAGTTTTGTTAAATTGGTGCACAAACTGTATGTAAACAAGACCTCAGGTACATATAACATACCTATGACCTTGGCATCTAAGCACCAATTTCAACTGTTACTTCAGTTTTGCATTAGTGTAAATGAGATCAGAAAACAGTCTGAAATGTTTTAGCTTGTCCATCAGAAATTATAAGGTGAATTTTAGGTAGACATAATTTACCCAAAGCAGAATTTGACCAGGATACTGTGGGGAACACTCCTATGCATTTTGATAACCAGAAGCCTTATCAGAAATAGGGCGTTATTTTGGTCCTCAGTGCTCTGTCTGTATATTGATTAATCATGGGCTTATGATATCACACCCCAAACTGGTATAACACTGCCTCTTTGGGTGCGAATCCCATGCAGCATCTCTGAATGATGTGCTCTATCTTTCCCATTGGTGTCAGTGGGGCACCAGACAGAATCAGGACTCTGCCTATGCAATTCACAACACAAACCTAGGACCATAGGGTGTGATCTTGCTTATATAAAACTATCATTGTTTTTAATGGAGCAGGAGTGGGTCCATAGTGTAAAATAAAACTTAATTTTGATTGGAAATGTAGAAAATTTCAAGTCTTGGAGTCTGGACTTTAGAGCCCTTTAACAGTTTTGAGCCATCAGCCATTCAGAAACAAATTTCATGAAGAAGGTTTTTTAAAAGAAAAGTTATAAATTGTTTGAGATTATGAAAGAAAGTTTGTCTGAATATTTAAGTCTCTGAAAATTAATATCACATTTGCCAACAATATATAATAAGAGCTACTCAGTTCTGCAGTTTTGGATGGGCAGTTTCTTGCACATAGCTGCAATTTAGAAAATGGTTTAATATTTGTAAAACTCCATGTCTGTACAGTGCGGAGCATACAGAGGGTGCTCTACAAGTACAACAATGCAAAATATGGGACATCATTGTCTCCCTTGTAAATATTACTAGACTTGCCAAAACCTTCCTCATTTGGAAGGAGGCGGCTGCCTTGTTTTCGTTTAATTGTATGGCACGTTTTAAAAAGCAGCTCCCTCTGGCGATAAAGTCTCTTGCTGTGTTTCAGGGAGTCATGTAAAAATTTTGATCACTCTTTGAAATCTCCTTGATGTTGCTGAGCGGGTAGGTATTTTCCAGCTTTGAATGCTACGATCCCCGACTCTTCTCCCCGCTGCGTGGTTTGCTTTTACTTACCACTCAGATAACAGCGCTAGAGGCCCCCGCTCCCATGCCCCACGGCATCCTGGGGGAGGCGTGGTTGCATGCTGGGGGCGGGAGGAGCACAGGCTGTGGCCCTGTGTAGCTTGCCGTAGTGCTGCGGCGCAGGGTGGGTGCGGAAGTCGGGCTGTAGTAGCCGCTGCAATGTTGCAGGCGGTTCCCAGCTGATTGTTGCACCGGGTGTGCGGCGCACAATGTATCTCCTGCTGGCGGTCCTCAGCCTGATCACGCGGGCGGCTTGCCTGGGGGAGCTGAAGGCGTTTGTGGTCGCTCACAGCCACATGGACGTTGGCTGGGTTTACACAGTGCAGGTAGCTCCCTCCAGTATTGTC